GGTTGGAGCTGGTCTCTTCTCACAGGTAATTAACGACAGAACAAGAGGGAACGGCTTCAAGCTCCAACAGGGTAGGTTTAGACTAAACATTAGGAAGTAATTTTTCACAGAAAGAGTGGTCGGGCATTGGAATAGGCTGCCCAGGGAGGTGGTTGAGTCACCATCCCTGGATGTGTTTAAGGGACGTTTAGATGGGGCACTGAGGGACATGGTGTAGGGGAGGATTTTGTAGAGTAGGGTAGATGGTTGGACTCGATGATCCCAAGGGTCTCTTCCAACCTGAACGAGTCTATGATTCTAAAGATAAAAGCATAGCTGTTTTCTGATTTGTTATCCCATGAAAGCATAGCTGTTTTCTGATTTGTTATCCCAGGTCAAGCCATAGAAATGGACAAAAGTCTGTCCAACTTGGAAGTGGATAAGCTTTCTTTATTTGTATAACATTATGCTACAGTGCCATTAAGGGAGTGGGTGGAATGCACCCTTATGTTCCTCTGAAGGGTAATTGATCTTGGTGTGCCTGAATAACCCAGAACTGCAGGCATAAAATCACCAGTTAACCTCTGCAGGGTTATACCAACACTGCCAGTTCTGTGTTTTTCTTTACAGCTTACAGCATAAGCACACCTTTTAGCTGCTTTGCCTGTGGAGTACCAAAGGTGTAAGGAGGGTTAGTAAAGGGGGGTGCCGAACTCCACCTCCTTTACCAAAGAGGTTTCACTGGCCTGGCTTTCTTAGGAATTGGGCAACTAGGCACAGATCCCACCTTTGCACCTTCACACTTGCCTGATTTTTAATATAGTTCAATATCAGGAAGCAACTGAATCTCTGGAATAACAACCAGAATTTTGTATGTGTGCATTCACTTATGTGAAAGATTGATGTCGTCGATCCTCTTCCTTTAAGTAAGACTTACAAACTTTGCCTTTTGTGAGCCATTCAGCATGGGACAATGACCTAGTCTTACAATTTAATATGACTTAATCTTGCATGCATTTTTGGCAGAGTTTTATCACTTTTTTTTCTTTTTCTAGATGAAAGTGCTAGTAGTTGAGGCTGTAGTCACCAACGTTACTATTGTGACTGATTCTCTCCAGCTTTGATTGGATTTGTGCAGCCAGATTTCCTTATCACTACTATTAAGCATTTGATCTGATGGTAAATACTTGTTCAACTGAACATGAAATGTGCTTGCTTATCCAGAAGCTTTACATTCACAGAAAGGAATGATAATTTGCTAATTATTCTCACTTTTTTAACACTCCTTATGCTGTTCAGCTATTTAATGATTTCTTTCTTTTAATCTGTACAATTAACTAAAATATAATGGCAAGAGTAATTGCTGCAGGAACACTTGGGAAGTCAGGACAGAGCTGTGCAGGATAGTTATAAAGGAATACACCCATAGCAGGAGTTACAAAGCAGCTAAAGGAAATGAAAGGCTTTGGAGAAAGCCCTCAGCATTCTGAGGGGCTGAAGGGATTGCAGCTACAACTCTTCAGGGAAACAGGAGGTGGGAAAAGGAGAAAAAAATGAGGGATCCCTCCACAGTCCACTGCAGGTACCATTAAGAGAGGTGCAATGGGAAACTGCCACCACTCCGGACTACTGTACCTCCTAGATGGAGAGAGAGAGGGAGAGAGTCTGCAAAAACAAAAAAAACAAAAAAAAAAAAAAAAAAAAAAGAGAGAAAGAGAAAGGGACATGGGAGGAATATAGGAAGACCAGAAAGTTCTTTGCCAAAATAGATTACCTAAAATGGACTCCCAAATCTGCTTTGAAGAGCAGCAATGCAGAAGGAATCCTGCCTTCCACCTAGCTGGGGTTCTGGGGCCTAAATCCAATCTGCAGCATTTCTTGTCCAGGAGGTAGTTGTGGCAGACTTGTGGGGAAAAGAGTAGTGGCAAATTCTACGAATGACAGTTTTCCTGCAGTCTGCTAAATGAGTTAACGTCGTTTCTTCTGGCACTTTTTACTTTCCAGGTGAAGCTTAATCTGAGCCTGTCACTTGGTGCTTTTGCTTAAAATGCCAGTCTCAAAAATATAGTCAAATTTTTCTCTCTGTCTTTCTGTATAGAATTGAAGTTGTAGAGAATAGAACTATATTTAAATGGCTTACAGTAAATGTAAGGGAGAGAGATCAATTTTCAGAGTAATTTCAAGTTGAGCCATAGGATCAAACACCCAGATACTTAGTATTCAAAATGACATATTAAGCAAGAAAATAGGCCATTATATAACTTATTTTATTTCTCTTCTAACAGGTGTTGGAAGATCATGGTATGCCAATGGATGACAGTCAATTTAATCTATGAACAGAAAAGCTGGAGTCTCCAGATGGAGGGTTGAGTTTTCTGGATTTTGTGGAAATATTGGAAGGTAAAGGAATTTTAACACAAACAGAGCATGAAACAAGCCCTTCCTGGAAGATGCAGAATTTTTCTTTTTTGATGGAAGGGTAATGGTAAAAATGATCATTGATATGAATTTTAGTGCTTGGATGACCTTCTTGTCTGAAGTTCTTTGACTCCTTACCTAGCTAAGCTGCTGAGTATCTAACTCAGGAGTAGAAGGAAACTGGAATAGATGGGATGTGACCTAACTAAAGGTCCACAGAAAGGTGTGATGGAGTTGCCACTAACAAATTGCAAGAAGTAACTGATTGATTTCTCTGCCTTGAGTAGATCCGTGCCCTCAGCATTTCTAACTCTTATTCACAGTTTTAGGATTATGTTGTATCCTAAATTACAGTGGATGATTTTATAGTACTGGTCTACTGGTGTCCAGCAACATTTTCTGGTCTGTGTAAAAAGAGAGAAGACAGTAACTACTCCTTTCAGGAATGAAAGATCTGTAAGTGATGAGTTTTACTGGCTCTATATACAACTGGAGATCCGTGGTGTGACCTGGTTACTTACTGGTTTATGGTTTTAATTTAAAGTATTGGTTTTGAATGTTAAAGCTGCTAAGGGACATTGCTACTGGGCAATGCTGAAATGTGGTTATCTATAACATAATTGATAGTATTATTGGACTACCAAGAATCCCAAGGAGACAGTGAGGTTTACTGTTTGTTTAGATATAGATGTATTGTCCACTCATATAATGAGGATGTTGTCTTCTTTGATTTACTGTTGCTGAAGAATGAATACCAGAGGAATATATTTGTACTCTGGGAGCACATTTTTTCACTTCAGCTACTTGCCTTACCCCGTCAGTAATTTCACTGATTTCAAGGCACTGTAAGTGAGGGTTTCGATTTCTACCTCCTAAAAATGAAACTGATGGAATCTGATTTCTTAGGATGGAACCCTAAGTGCAAGGTAAAGTTAATAAGTAATTATTCATTTCTTATTTCTTTTATACATCTAGATTTTGTGAGTAAAATTCTGATGACAGAATTTTATGCTGGTAGTTTTGTCTTTGGCTTCAAAAGCCAAAAAAGTTTTAACTTCCATATTATGCCTCTCGTTATTCTCAGAGGTGTGCATTTATTTTTTTCGCAGTTACTATCCTTTTCTGCTGTCATTATTTCTCGTTCAGAACTAAGACAAGGAGGAGAACTGACTTGTATCTGGCTGATACAATATTCAGGTTTTAGTTCATTCAGTCCTGTAAGTTTAGAAGTTTGTGAATACAGCCAGCTAATCATCTGCCCACCAAAATATGTGTGCCTTCATCCAGCAGCCAAATAAAAGATGCCTGAAACAGGTTAACCTTAAGGAAAATGAGTGTGCCAACTCTTTGATTTAAATCAAGAATCAACAGTGGTTTGTCTGTATTTAAAGTTTTTGCTTTTGCCAATTATGAAAATCACAGCTTTTCTTTCCATACGGTACTATATCCCATAGCTGTAAAAGAAATTGCGACCCACATTCAACATCAACTCTCAGAAATCAGAAGGCAAAGAAAAAACCTTCCTAACTTTTATTTTTTGATGATTTGTGATTCACTGTGGTGGAGGGTGTTCTGTACTTACAGAAAAAGAGGCCTGATTTTCTTCTTATAAGCTTTAGTGGGTAGATAACACGTGTACAAATTTTCTTGACTAGACTTCAATAGAAACTGGAATTGAAAAAGGGGAAGGACAGTGCATGCCTGTAGAAGGGAGTAGGATTTAAAGGGTAAAATCAGGAAATTTTAAAGTGATGCAGTGAATACTATCTAGTGATTCTTCAGATAGTTGTACAGGCTCTTGTGTGTTGGTGTATGTAAAATTTTGAAAAAGGAAAGAAACATTCCTTTAGAACAGATCATTAATTTAGCATTTTCTTATCAATCAGGAGTAGGGTGTAGTGAATTGTCAGTGTGTACCTTTTTCTTCACAAGTTTTCCCCATTTTAAAATCTGTCGTGAATTACTCATCTATATGGCTCATGCATTGCAGAAGACTTATAAAATGCTCAAGAGGCTACAAAAGATGCTTAGTCTCTTTTTTTCCCAGAAGCAAGGCAAAAGAGGTTCCTGGAGTATCACTGCAGAATGAGCAGAAGGAATCAGATCTGGAATGGTAACCAAAATAGCTGTTCTATGGCCTAAAAGGACATTAGCCCTTCAGGACTGGAAGTGCAAGGGTGCCCTGCTGGGAAGCTGGCTGTCGCCCTTTCCTGATCCTGCTGGGGCTGTGAGATAATAAACTTGTGGCAATGTGAAGCTGCTGTTTGTGCAGGACTGAGCCTTGCCAGAACAGAACATCAGGCAAAATAGTTTCAGTGGTGATGCTCTGTTAAGCCAGGAGTGTTTTGATGGTAGATCTGAAATAGCTCAGGTCGGTTCAAACCGCAGGAGGGCTTAAAGGAGATGGTCTAGTGTGCAGTGTTTGTGCTACACAAAGATGTAACAGATTACTTTCTCTGACACTGTCTGCAGCTCCTGTGTGCCCTCACTGAGACAGCCGGGCGGTGTGACAGCGAGTCACGACTTTCACAGTGCTCCTTTCCTCCTCCTCCTCCTCCTCCAGTCTGATACACCACTTCCTCAGAGTAAACCAAACAGCCACCACAAAAGAAGGCTAAAGCAAAAGAAAAAAAGCCTTTCCTCAGCTGTGCTGTGCTTTCTTCAGCAATGGCATCTGAGGCCATTACTGTAATTTGGGTGGACACCACTAATCCTGCATACAGATATTGGACTTTGTCATGTTTGGGCTGTAAATAATACAATTGCAGAGTTTCTTGTTTCATTTATGTTACATTACTGTGCTGTTTATCAGATACGTTTAATACCATCTTTTCAATGTTTGCTAGACTTTGATTTCATTATCGCAGATGCCAGATTGAAGGGGCCAGGACCTACATTATGTAGCAGCCCAAACCATGGAGTAAATGATGCTAAATATCATTACATGGCTGCTGAAGAATGTCTCAATCAACTTAATGATAAGCTGATGAAAGTCTATGGGGTAAATGTATTGATCCATGGTTTGCTTCGGCAGTGAAGCTGGTTGTTATTTCGATACAAATATTTGTTTTAAAAGTTGGTTTGGGGGGCCTGTCAGGGAAGTGACTCTAAAAATTACGTTGGATTTCATGTCTTCTGTGTTCTCGGAAACTTCCAGTTCAAATACATTCAGCTTTCAAGGCAAAAACTTCTTCCTTTTTTTTCCCCCCTAATTGTCTTCTCTGCAGCCTCTGCCAGGAAAATAAGATCTGAGTTATTTTTTCCCATCCTTTTGTGAGCATAGCTATTAAAGAATCTGCAATTAGAAAAGAATAACTCTGTACTACTCATTCATGGAACAGACCATCTATTCATGAGAATGATCTTTCAAGAAGATGTTCTTAGTCCCTAAAGTTTGCAAGACAGGGATCTTAAACAAGAGATGTTTTCCAGCTTTTCTTATTTATTTCAGCTTTTGCTTATTATTTTCTGTAGTTGCCATTAGCAGGTACTCCTTGAATTCCCACCATGGACATGCACAAAGTAAGAGAGATCACTTTTTACAAAAAAGCTGCAGTCATTACCCTTTTGCTCAGTTCATCCTATCCCCATTGGACACGTCTAGCAAAGGTGATCATATTGATCAGCCTTACTTCAAATTTCTGAAGAACTGCACCATTTAAAAGGTGTTTGAACATTTTGCATCTATTTTAATGGGAGAAGCTGTTCAGCTGGTAGATCAATTGCTCTCAAGTCTGTCTTCATTACAGGTTTTCTAAGGATAGGCAAGGGTAGAAATGAGGTACCTCTACGTATAGTACTGATGGAAAGTGGAGGTCAATTTGTAAATTTGTATGGGGATGGCTTTTTGATGGTCCCTACTTTTGCTCGGTTCTGTACATGCCTAAGATGAAAGCAGTAAGACTGCAATTTACTGTGGACTATCCCAAGTAAGGCAGTACTATAAATGCTTCATATTCTCGAACTGCGTTAAAATATTTGCCTGTTGTCAAAACAAGTCTAGAGCAAACATTTGTTATTTATGTTTAAATATATGTAGTTGACATGTTAAATATTCCTTGTTAGGACACCTATTCTGCCTTCCATGAAACAGACAGTAACCGTAACAGTATCATCAACATGCCTGGCTTTCAGCTATTCTCGGAAAGCTTTCTGCTTCATCTTGGAGGAGAGGAATTTTTGTGCCTACTTGGTTTGTTGGGAATGAACCTTACCTCCATGTTAAATTACCAAGAATTCTGTCAACTGTTCCACACCCAAGAAACTAAGGAGGTAGCTTCTCAGGTTATGCCATCTTATAAGTAAGAAAGAAAAAATTGTGGAGTACCTATAGTAATCTGATCTGTTTACAGAAGTGAATATACTGTGTGAAAATTTGTATTGGGTACAATGAAAAAAGATAGTATTAATATATGTCTTTATCAAGCTGACGTTGGGTAGCTTTACCAAGTTCTCAGTGGTTTATGATTCCATTAAATCAGGTACTGAATCCAGCACTAGGCCAAAATGCCAAAACTACCCCTGGAGACTGCTCAACTCTGTAAGGTCAAACATACATACTGGTGCCTGAATTGGAGCCTTAGAGCTGAGCCAGCCTCCAAACTGGACAACTTTGCTGCATCTTCCAAGCATGCAGAACTGAGGACATGGATTGCGAATCGGATGTCATTTTGGATTGAGGAGCAGCCAGGATATTACCTGTCTGGCACAGTGTCTGTCAGTTCTGAGACTAATATTGTTGTCAGTGGACATTACAGTAGTCCATGCTCCAGACCTTTATGCTACCAGGACACCAACATTGTTGTCAGTGGACATTACAATAGTCCAAAACACCATGCTCCAGACCTTTATGCTACCAGGACACCAAGAGCAGACAAGACAGGTGAGGTGCACAGAAGCACTATGGAATAGGTGGAGGACAGGGAGAATAGAGCTGCAGCCTCCCTTCTTGCGAGAAGTGACGCTGCTTAAAATGTCTGGAATTTTAAAGTTTGAGCTTTACTTCAATGACAAGTAGCATTTAGGCACTAAAAAATTCGTTCTAAAGACTCAGTGTGAAACTCTGTTTAACTATGCAAACAGAGATAAATTCATAAAAATAATGACAAGATACAGCAGGACTGAAAAAGCTCCTGATCAGCAACTCATCTTCGTTGTGTCAGTGAGGATGTGATACACACACATAGGCTTATTTCCCAGTTTTTATTTGTCTCTTACAGCATTGCTGTTGGCTCTGTTGTTAGTAATATTTATCTGCTTGGTTTGGTTTTCTTCTTTTTTTTTCCTGAATTGGACAACTGAGCGAATCAAGGACATGAGTCTAAAACAAGAAAGGAAACTGATGATGATTGAATCTTGCTATCAGTTGGAGTCTGAGACCAATTACTGCCGCGCTCTCATTTCTGTTTCAGTTTGGACTTAGCTAGAAATTGAAGCATTTTGAATTGAGCTCCAGAATTTCCTCATTTCAAACATTTTTACTGTTTCATAAGTCCAGCAAGGAAAATGGAGTGATTGAAATCTTAAGAGCACCTGCATTTTCCCACCTAAGTGTTTAGACTATTTTTGTTGGTCGATTTAGGCTGATGGAATCATGTCTCAAGCTGTGGGAGGGGGGAGAAACTCAGGAGGTTCCCAGGCACCTAAAGCAGATTAATGAGGCATTCATGTTTCTAAATCCAAATGGAGGCCTCAGCAAAGGCTGTCAAGGTCCTGAGCCCCAGGAGCCCAGAAATCCAGAGTCAGCAGTGTTGCAGTTCTCCAGGACCTGAGTTCAGGTCTGTGCGTGCCATGGGTGGCACAGGAGCTCAGTGGGTAGGTCAGATGTAGTTACCACATCTCGCCTGGTCTGCAGAGCAATGTTCCTCTGCCTTTTGCTCGAGAAGCTTGGTCCAGGGAACATATTCTTGAAGCGTGGCTGAACCAGGCTCTGAAGCCGTATGTCTGCAACATTTCCTTACAAAGCAGTAGCTGGAGGAGGAATGGGTACTAGGATATAGCATGAGGTGGGCAACTGTACTTTAAGAGAATTTAACAGCCTCTCCTCAGTTTTCTAACTGGAAGTGCTTAGAAAAGCTAAAGAAAATTGGGCACCAAAAGAAGAAGGGCTGCTCTTCTCAGGTGAAGGAAGATGCACTGTTTCAAAGAACAGTGAGACAAGGTCTCCTCAGCTCTCAGATAAGTGTGTCCTTGTGTAGCACATGGAATTAGGCAGCTTTCTGTGTAGTGTGACAGTTATCCTGGATCCTAATCTGAGGCACCCATATTCCTCTGCATGCTTGGATTCAACAAGAAGCACCAGGCCCCTTAACGTTAAGCACATATAATGGTGGATGAATTTGCAAATGTGGGTCTTACTCCCCAGACTTACTAGCCGTGCCTTGGTGACTCATTTTGATCTACGTTATTGACGTAAATCAAGGATAATCTTCCTGGAGTCACTCCAATATATAATTGTTTCTGAGATAATTAACATTTCCTTCTATGCGTATAAACAATCCATGCTGGCTCTTGAGTTTGAGGAAGGATTGAACAACACTGATTTGAAAATAAATAGGGAATTACAAAATTTAAAACATCTTCACTAACCTGCAGCTAGGGAAATAAGGCAGTATTTAAAGAATTAAGTTTACACAGATGTGAAGTAACAGTCTTTAATGGGTATCTTAGAAACTAGGAAAAAACCACCACTACCATGAAGAACAACAAAAGGGAAGGAAACTTGAGGAGATTAAAGATCCCACTAACATAAAACATAGTTAGTTGTTATTTTATTTTTTTTTCTTTTCTGAGAAAAAAACAGATGATAACGGATGCAGAGCTAGCTTGTGATCACGCTCATTACTACCTTGTTATCAAAGCAAGAACCAGATGGCATGACCTAGCAAGGGTAAGAAGAATGTTTTCTTTAAATAAATAAGTGGCACTAGTAGATTTCAGAACATTATGCAATGTTGATCTTCAGATTCTATAAATATTCAAAGAGGCCCATTGCAAAATAGCTCATTAATGATAAAAACTTACTATATGATTAAAAAAAAAAATCAACAGTTCGAATAATATTCAATTTTTTTAACTTTGATTACGTAATAGATGTTACAGTTACTTCTAAAACTTTTTTCATATTTTAATATTGTTGATTTTATCTAATGTTTCTGTTAGTAGCAGTGGTCTTCATCTGAGTGAGGCCTCTTTGACATCATGCTGTACACAAACACACACCTACTCCCATGCTGACACCCAGCGCTGCCCAGCACAGTGAATCTTTGATTGTGATGTTTACGCCATCTAAAAAGACTCTCACAAAACTGTCCTATAAAAATTATTTATACCTTTTAATCTTTTTTAACTTGTTGAATAGTTGCAGTATTTGGGCAAAAGAGTAGCACAAGGAAAAATGAATATTTTTTTTTCACTAAATGTCAGATGATAGTACTGGAAGTCTCAGTTTTCAAGAAGAATGGTACAAAAAACCAACAAACCAACCAAAACCCAAAGCAAAATCCAACTCACATTACCTATAGAACAAGTTGGGGAGAAAATCTGCAGGTCTGATGTTTTCCAGTGCCTTCATCTTCCACTGGCGTGCTTCAGCTGCGGGCATACCCACAGCTGCATGCATGCTTCTCATGCTCATATTCCCTGTGTTTGCCATCAGTAAGAAACTTTCCACACAGACTACATCATCTAAACACCTGTGATGTCAATCCCAATTCAAGCTTTTGAGAGTTGCACATCCAAAACAGAAAGTAGGAAAGAGCAAAAATCAAATGAAAAAACATTAAAAGATGAAATACAGACGTGCATGATTTTCTATTTCTTTCTCAATTCCCATTATTCATTAAGCTTATAGAGAGATCAAACATTTTGTCACACTTGTTGGTTCTTGTTAGTGATGATTTCTTTTACGTTCCAGAATTTTCAGGAATTTGACAGTGAAGGAAATGGCACGATACAGCCAAGAGACTTGAAGAAAGTCTTGTTCAGATTTGGCATTCCAATCACCCCGGAAGAATTTAAGCAGCTTTGGGCAAGGTATGACAACTCTAAATGATTAGCTCTTGCAATAATGCATCTTTTATAGGATTACGGAGCCTTTGGTAGTGCAGTGAATGACAATAGATTACACCACACAAGAAATCTTTTAATTTGTTACGATTGTGACCTCAGATCATGACACTGTGTTACAGGACCCTATGTCTTACCATTCTCAGCTCAAGAATGCAATCAGATCAATCCATTTCAAATGAATTCAGAGACAGAACTTTCTCTTGACTTCAGTATTACTCAACCCTTTAATTTAAGATACATTCTCTTCTTGGATGGCACATTAGGTCACTGGCTAAGTTAACTTGCTTTTCATTAATTTTGTTTATACACACAAATGCCTACCTGAGTTTGTGAGGGCTGAAGGTCAGTTCCAGGTGTTTTGGGTCAGGTGGGAACTGCAGACAAAGCTTCTGTCGAGGAGCTCTATGGACAATTTATGTTACCTACTTGTCTGAAGGCAGTGCTACCAGCCTCGGCTTTTCAGAGCAGTAAATTTACTTACTGTATTTTCAACCTAAATAAAAATGATTCAATCAAAAGAAAAAACGCTACATACCAAATACATAACAAAAGAAAGTAAGGTAATTTCATGCTGTGTAAAGATGGCAAGTAATATCATGAAATGTTTTTATAGACTAGTAATTTGTTGTGAAGTGGGGGAAAATACTTGTCTGCCTTCAATAAAGAGAAGCTGTGCTATAAACTGTGTTTGAAATGGCATAGATGTCAGCTGTATGTGACATTATATAAAAAGCTACCTTCATTACAGGTCTGTTAAAAAAAATAATCACTCTCTCTAACATATAGAAGCTGAGTGTATTGCATTTTGGTTTCAAACTGCATTAACTATATAGTTTTTTCTTAGTGCTGATTCATCTCTGAATTATTTTCTACTCCATTAGATTTTACTTTCCATTCTTATTCCTTATGGATGCCATGGCACATTGAAGAGTATCCTTTTCATGCAGTTATCTGCTGCACAACTTCGCTCCCATCAGCCACTCCTTTTATAGAATAGCTCAAATCTCTTATGTGCCTGGTATGCCTGTAACTTGAATAAAGGAATTAGACTGAAGCTGAGGCTAAATTAGGCATTACCATGCATCGGAGCACTAGCAGGGGGAGAAATTGCAAGGAAAAAAGCCTATGGAATGGTTTATACTTAAGAAAATATGAAAAGTGTTTTTGAAGATAAACCTGTGTTTTTGAAGGATGATTACAGTTCTGGGCATCTCAGACCTGTGTCACCAGTTTGAGACACTTGAGACTCAATTTTTGGGACCCCAGTTCTCTGCATCTCAAGTCAAATGCTGAAAAGCAGAAGTACTGAGGGCTGGAGAATAGTCTTGATAATTTGGTCCTCAAGGTAGTCTTTTCAGAATCAACTCTGTGATTACAATGCATAAGCCCTATCTTTCGAGTCTCGTATAAAGTCACTTGCTCACTCTCCGTGTGGCAGGGCACCTCTATAAGGAAGGGAAGTCAGTGAGATTTAAACTGTTAAGTCACTTAAGGACATCTGCAATGCCTTTCTGTGAAGAACGCATGAATATTTAACGAGAGCATTTCTTTTTCAAGGTATGATACAGATGCAAAAGGATATCTTACTCACCAAGAATTTTTACAGAAACTGGGGATAGAGTTTGCACCCACTGACACAGGGCTCAGCAAACACATCACGGAAGACAGATACGCACATTTACAAATGCATTATAATAATCAACAAAAGAAACATTCAAAGCTGGAAGAGCAGCAGAAACAGCAAACTAAAGCTCTGCATGCAAGAGAAATTAAAAAGCAGATCAAGTAAGTTATTTATGAGCTAGCATATAACTTTTTGTGTTTGTATTTAGTTTGCTAAGATGAGACTGTGTACAATAAAAATGTAATTTTACCATAGAAGGCTCTGAAAAGAAGTTTCAGAAGGTACTGGACCAAGCTTATACATAGTGTTATTCCCTTGATTTTCTGCAGATAAGCCTAGCTCAGTGTGCATTGTGAGACTTTTTTTTATATATATTGTCCGTGGCTTATTATTTTGTATTTTACAGACTTTATGGCAATATCTATACTGACAAATCCGAATGTCCAGAGACATTCCTAGACCTAGTCATCTATGCTGCTAGACTGCCAAAAGAGTCCTCATCATGCTCTGGCCTGTGTCAGCTGATGTTTTTCCCTGATCACTCCCAGCACTGTTTGGGAGCAAGAATGCTTCAAGGAGGGTTCCTAACAGGCAGTTTGCAGGCAGCTGCTCCCTTTCGGCAGCTACGAAGGTTCCCTAGCAGAGATGTGCCAGCTGGCCTCTGTGCCCGGAGCGATCCTGGGCCTCTTTATGGGTATCATCTCAGCTTGTGGTTCCAGTCCTAACGCTGCTGTCAGCTCAGACTGAGCGAGAAGGGAAGGGTAATGATAGGACAAGGGGAAACGGTTTTAAATTGGAAGAAAAAAGATTCAGATTAGATCTCAGGAAGAAATTTTTGACTGTGAGGGTGGTGAGACACTGGAACAGGTTGCCCAGGGAAGTTGTGGATGCCCCATCCCTGGAGGTGTTCAAGGCCAGGCTGGATGGGGCCTTGAGCAACCTGGTCTAGTGGGAGGTGTCCCTGCCCAGGGCAGGGGGATTGGAACTTGGTGATCTTTGAGGTCCCTTCCAACCCAAACCATTCTATGATTCTATGATTCTAAGAGCAAGTGCAGTTGTGTTGCCCTGCAGGCCTCTTCTTCTCAGACTGCTGCGGGCGACGTAGACTTAGACCTTACCTGATTATGCTTAACAGGGGCTCTTCTTGCAGCTGAAATGGATGGGCATGTAGGACACTGTGGTCCAATAGCCTGCTGGATGAGGGCCAAGTAGCAATCACAGTTGGTTTCACATCCCTCTAGCAGCCAGATAAATTGTTAGTAAATGCCTTAGTAGATTCAGCAAAAAACAGCCTTGACAAGGATGGACGCTGGCTCCATATGACAGAAATAAGCAACTTGTCTCCAAGCAAGAGGACTCTCTGCCTCAAACAAAAATCAACACTCACGGAGTTAATAGGTCACTGCTCTGGAGAAGAGCATTTGACAAACAAATGACAAAACGATATCCTTCTCAGACCAGAGTCTAATGATCCATGCTTGCCCTAGTGAGTCAGCAGTGATTAGTCTGCTACTGCTGGAGGATTCCTGCACCTGCCAGCAGATTAAGGCAGCAGGAGAATCCTCTGCCCCAGTACAGTGCTGTTAAAACTTTATATTTCCAGGTTGTGGATAGACACCACCTGGATGCTTATAATATTTTCTGCTTGCACTTTCACTCTTCTCCTGGACTGCTTTATTTATTTATTTATTTAGGAGTGTAAACCCTCAGGAGCAAAAAAAACATGTAAAAATATTCCCTCAAGAGCACGCATTTCCTCTCTTTTGTGCTCAGAAAGTGTCTGGAAGTTGTAGGAACTAATAAATTATTATTGATAAGAATGATAATTCCCCATGACATTGTTGGTAAAGGTGATACACTCATAAACAAAGAAGAGCAGCCTTGTCTTGCAGATAAAGAGGCAGCTTGGGAAATCATTAGACAAAAAACCCCACAAAACACAGAGAGAAGCCTGTAAGCTAAGGCTTTTGCTTTTTACCTTGCTTTTTTAAATTCTGTTTTTCAGGATCCCAAATAGGCTGAAGGAATCGAGGGCAAAACTCTCTTTTCAGTACCACAACTCTCCCACCTGCATTGCAGGTCTCTGGCATAAACTGCATTTATGACACCCACAGGTATCAACGAGTGTTCCACCTGTAAAAAATCGCATAATATACAACAGAGATGGTTAGGCAGCTGCTGTGTTGCAGACATTGCTCATTACTGATCTGAAACTTGGGCCCTAACAGTCTTATACTGGGCTCTTCTGCTCCATTTCTTTTACCAGCCCATTGTCTCTAGTCTTACGCATGGACGAAGAGCTCTTTTGGTCAAGAACCTTCTATTTCTTTCCTGTTAGGTCAATACCAAGTGCAAGGCAGCCCTGCCTCCAATGCTATAAATAAGAAGCAGCTCTGCAAGTAAGGAAGATGCTGTGCTGCAAGCAGAAATTATGCAGTGTGGCTCAAAGATGCAAATACTCATCCCGAAGCAGCTGGAGAGTAATTAAATCAATGGGGAAGACATGACGAGTAAAAATAAAATAGCCATGATGTGACATGCTGGCAGGTCCACATCATTTAGAATTATTTACTTTTCAGAACCTACCATAACAACGACTATGTATAGCACTATGTATATGGCAATTATGCACACAAATGCATACACAGGAGCACAGAGCGATTGCTTAACTGCAATTTGGAGGAAAACAGAAATTGACAGACTGGGTCAAGTATAAACTGGATTCTTAGTTACCTGCTAGCAACCGGAGCCAGATATTTCTGGTTGAGGTGGAACAGCCTTCTATTAGATGGATGTGGAATATTCTGCCCCCTGCACTATGGCCGTCTCATCCTGGGCAATGACAGGGTTTGGTTTAAGCCTGCAGATGGGACTTTTATACTCCTTTCAGAAACTATGTTCTAATTATTTGTTAGCTTCTGGCTTTTCTTGATTTATATATATAAGATATCCAGTTCTGCACTTAATCTATTGAAATTTCTGGCATCTGCAGCTTCCTCTGGGAATGAGTTCACAGCTTAGTAGTTTGTGGTCTGCAAAAAGTATGTCGTTATCAAATATTGCCACCTATCAGTTCCAGCTGAATGTTCTCTTCTTGTCTCCCACACTTTCTCACCCACCTCCTGGCTGGTGGGAGCAGTCCTGTGGTAGCAGTTCCTGTCTGGTTTTCTCCCTCAGAAAGCTGGAAGTGCAAAAGGAGTTTAACCCAGGCCTCTGAACTCCTCAGATTTCACATAAGGCTCTGGAAAGCCATAAATGACTCTTAAGCCAGAGTCATTGTCTGACAGATGAAATCCACCCACATGGTGGCTGTGAAGGCAGCGATCCAGCCAAGTGTCAGCCTTCAACTCCAGGACCACGTAGGTCAGCTGAGATGCAGGAAGCCCAGGTGGGCATGGTGCCCAGCTACCGTAAAGGTCAGCGGAAGGAGATCTGCTCTTGGTCAGGAAAACGGACGCAGCGACTGCAAAACCTGACCTTGGTGATCCACGTGGGTCTCAGCCTCCACTCTCAATGAGTGGGAAAATTGATTCCTTTCACCTGTCAAATTCGGACTTTGGGAGGAAGCAGTTGCCCGAGGTGTAAATTTGCTGGTTATAGGACCCCCTTGAGCAGCACCCACTCCCCCTTCTGTGATCTTGCTTAAGTCATAGAGTTGTCCAGGCCAGAAGGGACCTCCTAAGGTCATCCAGTCCAACCTCCCCGCAGTCAGCAGGGACCCCCCCAACTAGACCAGGTTGCCCAGGGCCTCGTCGAGCCTCTCCTTGAATATCTCCAGGGAAGGGGCCTCAACCACCTCCCTGGGCAACCTGTTCCAGTGCTCCACCACCCTCACAGTGAAGAACCCTCTCCTAATCTCCAATCTAAATCTGCTCCCCTCCAGCTTGAAGCCGTTGCCTCTCGTCCTATCACTGCAGGCCTTTGTAAACAGTTTCTCCCCAGCCTTCCTGTAGGCTCCCTTCAGGTACTGGAAGGCTGCTATTAGGTCTCCCCGGAGCCTCCTCTTCTTCAGGCTGAACAACCCCAGCTCCCTCAGCCTGTCCTCGTAGCAGAGGTGCTCCATCCCCCTGATCATTTCAGTGGCCTTCCTCTGGACCCGCTCCATCAGGTCCATGTCCTTCTTATATTGAGGGCTCCAGACCTGCACACAATACTCCAGGTGAGGTCTCACCAGAGCAGAGTAAAGTGGCAGAATCACCTCTCTGGACCTGCTGGGAACGCATCTTTTGATGCAGCCCAGGATGTGATTGGCCTTCTGGGCTGCAGCTGCACACTGCCTGCTCATGTCCAGCTTCTCGTCCACCAGCACCCCCAAGTCCCTTTCCTCAGGGCTGCTTTCTAATACCTCACCCCCTAGTTTGTATTGGTGGCGAGGATTGTTCTGGCCCAGGTGCAGAACCTTGCATTTGCTCTTGTTGAACCTCATGAGGTTCACCTGGGCCCACCTCTCCAGCCTGTCCTCTTGTTTCTATTTGTGCAGCGGCTGCATCCAGCCCGTGTCCTTTCTTCTGGCTTTCTGCAGGGGCTGTGAACCTCACCCTAACAGCTCTGGAGCAGTTTCAGTGCCCTGTGATTGCACACTGTGAGGCAGACAAAAGCCCTGGACATCTTACAATTCAAAACATACTGCTGTGCGCTCTTCTTTTTTTTTTTTTTTGCTTTTGTTGTAACTCACAGGAACAAATCGCCCAAATTAGAAACAGACATTGAACAGTGGCTCTCCAGCTCTTCAAGAAAAATACAAAACAATTGCAAGAAAATATTATTTTTTGGCAATGTAGCTTGATCTATGGTTTTAATCCTCATTTTCTCCACATGCATATTTACTGCTGTGAGTGGAATAATTACTGCTTGGAAATCTTTTATCAGTCCAAAACTGTTGAATGCCTCAATTTTCCAAAAATATGAATCTCAAAAACTGTTTTGATTTTACTTCAGCCTTTACTTTCATTAGGAAGATTTAAATGGAAGATAATAGTGGTGATGAAGAGTGGCACTGCAAGTTATGTATAGTTGAAAAGGGTTCCAGAATTTTTCTGCAATGAGGGATACAAGGTGGACTACATCACACTTTGAAAGCACACCCTTGCAAGATGGAAGGAGCAGTGCTAAATAGTCTTCTGGGGCTGGAGGAGATCAATCTGCAGTGAAATCACAAACTGCCTTCAGGATGGTTTTGGCTTTTAGGCTGCTGTATCCTTCTTCCTAGGTCTGATTCTTTTGGTATCTTGCTGGGCTTCGGTACCCATCCTCCTCCGCTGTTGCCCATTTGCAATCACTGGAAAGCTGTGGGTTTTAAGCTGTGGCATATTACAGTAACTCTAAAAACAGCAAACACTCTGTCAGGAGATTTTAAATTTGAGTCGCTGCTGGGAAGTCTATAGGCTTCTAAACATAATACAAGTTAAAACCCAGAGATGTAATTAGCAGATTTTGGATCTCTAGGGTCTCGTATCTAAGAGGAGGTTGAAGGAGTCTGAGCTGGTTAGTCGGTAATTAGAATCATGGAGATTCAAGTGAGTAAAGCCAACTTGAGTGCAATGCAAGAGCTCTCTGACCGACGTGCACCCTCTGCAGCACACTTCTATGCTCTTTCCAATACAAGTTTTGCTTTGAGTGTAAACCAAGTACCACATGGTAACAGAAGCAGAATGTGAAAAAGAGGAGGGAATTAACTAGAAAAATGAGATTTGAAAGTGAGAGAAAAGGTAATAGCTCTTTAGGGGATTTTAGATACTCTGAAACACATTGGCAATATTGCAGTGTCTTTGAAAAGTTTCACATTTTGTTTGAAAGCTATATACAGTGGCTAGATTAATCATAAGGAAGCTCACAACTCTTTTCTGGAATATTACAGGAGTAGGAGCTATCAAAGTTTTTAATGGCATGAGACCAAGCCAGGGTGAGAGGGCAATCCATGCAGCTACAGAGAGAAAGTTGAAGGAATATTGCACTCCCAAGGAAGCTTGAGCTTTTGAAAGACGCAGGTTTCATATGAGAATGCAGAAGAAGGAAACCTTTGAAGAATTTTTGGCTGATCTTAAAATAAAGGGTCAGTCAAGCAGCTATGACGTTTTGAGAGATTCCATTTTAAGGGATCATATAGTGATTGGAATCAAAGATCCAAAGATACAATAAAGATCCCAGAAAAGTAGGATCTGAAAAAAAAAATAGGAAAATGTGTTTAGTCTATCTAGGACAAGCATAATCACAGTATGAAAATATCAGAAGAGGAGCAGGACATGTTGTCTATCAGGAAAGGAAACTAGAAGACAGTTTTGAAGAAACTTTTCAGAACTATCTGCAAGTAGTAGCAAAAGTGAAATATATGAAGACTCACATTATGTCCAGAAACTTAGAAATTTTGCAGCAGCTATAGGAAATACAGCTATTTTGCAAGACCTTGCAACTGGAAAAGCAGAAACAAAATACCTTCCATACCCCCAGATCTATGTGAAGGTGCACAAACCAGCAATACAACAAAACACCACAGAGTGATTCTGTGCAAAAGCTGAAGAAGGATGCTGCAGACTAAGAATAAACACATATAAGCTAAAAGCTGGTGCTCAATGTTACCTGCAGGCATACTGTAAAAAATTTGGCTGAGGAATCTCTACATACAAAGAAAGACTATTGAAACTGAGGGTGTCTACTGAGAATCTAATTCCTACTAAAGGATTGTATGAACTTCAATTGAAAATTGAAGATAAAAACAGTAGTTTAAGTTTATAGGCAGAAAGAGCTAATATTTTGTCCAATATATGCCTAGCCCTGGGCTTGGTTAAAGCAATGAGTCTGAGGTAGGAACCATAAACACAGAAGAGTACCCAGAAATCTTTTGTGTTAAAGTAGATCCAGAATATAAAGCTGTATTTTCACAGCAATGTGTGCTGGTAGGAACAATCCTTTGGTCCTGGAAGAGAAGCCTGTAAAGGAGCTAGATCACGTAGGAGAAATGATGGGAAGTTTTAAAGTGGAAAAGGCAGTTAGCAACAGGAAGATCAAAAGGCAAGTTGCTGAGATTGTCCTTACATCCAATGCAGCTAAGTATATGTTTCTTGACAGACACTGTCCTATACAAGACATTTCCAGGTAGAAGGACTGCATATGTTTTTTTAAATGTTAATAAATCTTTACACAAATCGCAAGTTCAGATTCTTCTGCTGAATCCAAAGAAACTCCTTTGCATGACATGAGTTTAACGCTGTGCATGTTTTACACCACAGTACAGGAGATTCTGCTTTCAAAGACTTCCTCTAGGCTTAAAGTTCATTCTTGTGTTTTCACAGGAAAGTCCCTTTACTTGAAGCAACTGTGGCTACTTAAATAGGTACTGAAGATGTTGAGTAGGGAGAAAACCAGTAGGGAATCTGAAAAATGGATCCAAGAGGGCCTGAGAAGTAGGATTAGACAGAAATGCAAATGTAAGGGCAGAGAAATAATATAAAGGATTAACTGGACACAAGATAAAACAGAGTCATTACAACGATGCCATCCACAAAGATTATGGGGGTGTCCAGAGGCCTGTTAGCACGTGAATGTTACAGGAGACATCACATCACACGGGCAGTTTTTGAGTTACTACACAGAATGGACCCACTAGGC